ACTTGGTATGTTGTGCCCCCACAACTTTAATCTACTTAAGCACCCGTGTGCCCCTTGTACACACACACACACACACACACACACTTACTTTGAACAGAAGAAAACTCAAGACTGCTCTGCAACTTGGAAATTACTTTAAATCTGTAGGTAGGGTTGTTTCTCTTTCATTTTTGAAATGGCATGGAACTCTAAGGCATGGCTGACTAAGCTGTAATGCATTCATTCAACTCAGTCACCTATTGCTAATCATTCTTGTTCAGTATTTTGCTATTATAAATAAATCTTTTGAAATTTAATTTGAATCCTTCTATTTTGAAAATATACTTGTATAGATAGTGTTTGTAAATCCTATTTCAAACGCAAAAGTTTTGTGCTTGTGTTAACACTCAAGCATTATTTTCTTCACTTACATTTCGACTAATGTAAATAGAAACTTTGAAGTAAGAAGTGCTGGGTTTCTGAAAACCTGGGGGTGGAAGATGGGGGTGGGAGAGAGAGTCACGGGATGACTACTCTCCCAATAGGTTGATGCAAAAATTAAATGAAACCTACATGCTCTGTGCTTAGAAACTATGTAACACACAAGCCAAACCTGCTTCCCCTGAGCCAATTCCAACAGGGGCAGAGGAGAACTGGCCATAGGGTTCGCAAAGCTATAAATCTTTACCGCAATGGACTGTCATATCTTTCGCCCACTAGCTCAGTGGGCTAACAGAGAACTGCCCACCATGCACTTAGCAACTGGGAACATGATTCCTGCACCACCAAGGCTCCTCATGTAGCACACAGCAAAGGCAAAGTATACCCTATTACTACTATCACGGAAAAATGACACCTTCAAAGTACAGTGAACCCTCGTTTATCGCAGTTAGTCGGTTCTGGACCCTACCGTGATAAATGAAATTCCGCGAAGTAGGATTCCTTATTTGTAAATCAAATATTTTCGTAGTTAGAGCATAGAGGACATGAAAAAACACCCTTTAGTCACCATTACACTCGTATTACCCAATTTATTAAACGAAAAAGGGAAAATACAGTAAAACATTTTGGATGTTACAATTATCATTTATTATTTATTATATTATTTATGGCATCAAACGTGTGCAGTATGAGCCAATCAGTGGCAGTAATGACAGAGCACGCGCTGTTACGCAAAAACCGCGATAGAGTGAAGCCGCGGAAGTTGAAGCGCGAAGTGGCGAGGGTTCACTGTATTTGTGCCATATTAAATAAGCCTATTACAGTGAATGAAATAAACTTGGCACTATGCTACTTGAAATAACTTTAGGAATAAAAAAGATTTTCACTCAAAGCAATATATATGCATGTCGACAAAGTCATAATAAAGAAAGCATTACAAGTTGAAATCTGTGTATTTTAAATGTGTACTCATCTAGATAACTTGCTAAGACTCACAGAGTATAATAAAAGCCTGTTTTTGTTCTAAACCATTAAATCTGAAACATCTATACTAGTATCTCCAATTCTCATAACACTGTAATTTTCTGCTTCAAAGAACAAAGAAAGTAACTTCCACACACTTCAGAAATTAGTATTACAGTGACATTTACTCAAAAATATACTTTAAATGTTATATAGTAATCACATATATATTCAGTGTGTACTGTATACATTGCAATATATACAGTGACATTGGAACTGAGAATATTCACAAAGACACAAATGGACTGTTTTCTTAGACTTCATGCAATGGCATGAAATGAAACCCTAGTCCTAAAATATTCTTTATATGAAAACACAAATAATATATCAATAACTGTTCTATTCATAGTATTCCGCATCCATTTACTAAATAAACTCTAGCTTCTGTTATTTTAAACCAAATGTAAAGGTGTAGCTAAATCAATAACAAAAAAAATAGTCTTAAACACATGTTATCAGAGAGCAAGTTTTTTTTTTTTTTGGAGAGCAAGTTTTTAACGAACTGTGTGCACCCTAATGGCCTTCTGTTGGCATTTATACAGAGAAATTGTTTCATCTATAAATTGTGTTAAGTGTTATAAATACTTGACAAATATATTTGATTGACGATTAGTTGTGTACTGAATCAGTCACAAAAAATCAAGATACAACTAATGGGAAAAATAATGACATCACCCTCTTACTTAAAAATGAAAAATAGAAACAAGGTCTGTTCCCTAGTAGAATGGTAAGGGCAGTGTTATATAGTACACAGTGCTATACAGGCACTGTATATACAACATAGTATACACAGTGACATATGTAAGTTTGGGATTTTCCAAAATAAAAACCTTCACACGATTGTTATTCTGAGAAAAAAGAAACAATATAATTCATATTACAGAGCCTGCAGAGATACAAAGATAAAGATTTATCAGTGTGTAAGTCACCTGCTTAATGGCACTAAGGAGCTCTGGTGGCTCTGTCAAGTAAGCTTTGGACTGCTAAAGGCAAGATGAGTGGTTCAAACCCTCCAGCTGCTCCATAGGAGAAAAAGGAAGCTATCTGCCCTGTAAAAATGTATGGCTTCAGAAACTCTGTGTAAGGTTGCTATGATTCAGAACCAACAAAATGGCAGTGGGTTGATTTATTTTTTATTTTAAATAAGCACCTTTTTTTTTTTAATGGCCAAAGCATGAGATGGAACAAGTTGGTTCGGCTTATGTTCCCATAGTTTAAGATATTCGTAACCTAATAAATCATTTAGGTTCCAATGAAAATCAAAAGAGATACAAAAACATTTTGCCCAATGGACTATGAGAACAAACAAACACGAGCTTCTTTGACCAACACCAGAAAAACTAGATGGTGCCCAGCTAGTGCTACCAAATGCTTTGAAAGGCAGCTCGTTATAAGGTCGTGGATAAAGTGGAAGAAAAACTTAAACAAAATATAAGATTATAAAAGAGACCAGGTTTATTTGTTGGACAGATATTGGTGGAAACCCTCCGGTTCTGGAACTGAACTCACCCCATGTTAGAATAAACAACCACTTAAGACTCTTTTACCCAAGGGAAAAGTAGAGAAGGCTAGGGAAGAATAAGGGAAGGAAACAGGAAACAGAGAGGAAGTAGAATTAACTGACAGTGTCACTGAGGGAATAGCAGTAGACTGCACTGGAACAAAATGTGTATCTGCTGTTGACTATAAAACTGAGTATCTGCTCTGTAAACCTGCACTTAATCCATCATGAAAAGTTTTTAAAAATGTATTACTTCCCTCAAGTAGATTATATAATTAGAGAAAAATAGCAAACACTGCTGTTAGCTTATTGCATATTAGATCTTGTCCTTAGAATATTATATAAACTCATGTAATCCTCATATCAATGACAGAAAATAAAAGAATCATCATCCACATTTGACAACGGAAAGATGAAGACAAAGAGTGAATTAAGTTGTCCAATCACACAGCTGTAAAGTACCAGGCAATATCCTTGCTCTAGTAGTCTTGTTTCAGTCTATTATTATTATTATTAGTTGGGATTTAATGAATATATCACATCTTTCCACATTTCAATCATGTCGAGTAGAATTGTACACTTGCTACCACAATCAGTTTCTAAACACTCTTTTTCTACATGGTCTCCTTGACATTGTCTCCCTTTTATCCCACCCCCACCACTGAACCCCCTCCTCTCCAACCTCTTATTCTACTTGCTGTCCCTATAGGTTCATGAATCCTGGGTTTCACATAACAAAAGAAGGAACATATTAACACAGCTTCAAGAGGTTGACTTTTAACTGCTGTGCTACTTACACTGCCTCTAATTATTCTGAGCACAGAATTAAAAGCAACTACCTAAAAGGAAATAAACATTCTCCTTAGACATATTCTTAAAAAGTTACTTCTTTAAAAACTATTTTTTTCACAATGTCTGTCCAAATTAATTTAGTACAAGCAAGTAATCTTCAATTACTTTACTAATAATGTTGCACAAAAAGCAAAAATAAAACACTTTCAATTCAAATTTTGTCTGGGAGGTTTTCCATATGAGATATAACCTCGGTTTCTTAATCACTTAGACTATGTAGATAAGTTAACCCAGAGAATTTCAGAGTATACATAATTATAAATCATTAAATATTTCATATAACCCCTTAAAACAGATGAGGAAATTTAAATGAAAAGAGTACTCGAAAGCTGTATAAATAGTAAAGCTACACATGCACTCCAAGGCATAGGACAAACTGGAATCTGTTTTACCATCTCTTCCATTTAGAACACTGTCTCCTACTTTGGACGACTTTCTCCAAGGATAAAGTCTGGAAGATCCTGTCTGAAGAGTCCTCCCAAGAGTGGCCAGCACTCCTCACAGGGTCTGTCATATACACTATCTGGACTACTCACATGCAATCTGGCCTTAGAACCAAACAATTTAAGGGCTGGAAGACTGCTGTATGCACCCATTCTAAAAAACTCCTTAGTTCTAAGTGTGAAAAAGGGGGCATAAAATGTTTTCATTCCCATACCTAGATATAATTATTACAACTGTGCTATAATCCAGATCACTACAACATAATTGTTTCTGCATATTTGCATTCTTAATGACTGAAAATGTAAATCCGAAGGTGTATGCTTTCTTACTTTTACTTTATATACAAGTATCATCCTCTCCTAAGTAGTAGAGTGCTTCAGATCATTGGAAACCACAGGTTACCACTTGCATGGCCAGGTCTTTCTTCAAAGACCGACTGAGTGTGAAGCTCCACTGACATCTGCTCAGCATCATAGTGGCACACAAGTCTCCACTGACAGAAATCCGGCAGCTGGGCTTGGAGCGCACTGACTGGTCAAGAACTGCATCCAGATCTCCCACTCGGAAGGTGAGAAGTCTTTCTCTAAACCACCGCTGCTTCCCTAGAGGCAGTACAACTGGACACGGCCAAAATGTCCTGTCGCTAACTGTCTCATCTCTTTCTCCTGCTAATCTTTATCCAAACGCAAATGCAGCTCTGACCTTACAAAAGGCAAAGAGAAAATCTGTAACAATTTGTATTTTAAAAAATTACAATTACCTTGAGCACTTGAACTTGACCTTCTGTAGTAATTTCCTTCAATAGCTCACAAAAGGACTGACATAAACCTATTGCATATGTCTGAAAATCAATCAAAAAGCAATAGACATATAAATTTATGCATATCAAATAGCATAAAATCTGACCTGAAACTCATTATCTCTTTGAGACTTATATACTATGCATACAAAGATTTAAATCTAATTTTAGAAAAAGTTAAAAAGATTACATATTATAAAACTACACTGATTTTTATTAGAGCACATTTTGTATGTTAGTAATAAGTCAGAGAACAGCATTACATCTGCACTGCAGTGAAAGAACAATAGTGGTCAAAGTTTTATTTTTTCATTAAAGTAACATACAAATCTTAAATTTTGAAAAGGCAGACACTGATTTCAAAGTAGAATCAAAATAATAAATGTATTACTCTTACAAAGGAAATACTACAACGTACCTGTAAAAATTCTGTTGATGACAAAAAGATATAACCATTGATGATCTTAAAGCAGGTTCTGAGATTTTCTGAACTTAGTTCTGCCAAAATAATAAATTTTAAAAGGGGTGGGGTGCAAGTTAACTCACTGCTTAAATGATTTATTTATAACTCTAAATTATAAATCTTTTAAAAATTTTTGTGTTTCTCAAATGCATAGGGTATACACACTGGTCTCGACACTAAGTTTTTCTAACCTTCTCAATTAGGTTAAAACACTTGGAAAAACAGTATCAAGCTCCCTTCTCATCCTTTCCCCAAAATAAATCTAAGTAGTCTTATGATCCAGCTTTTTCTCTCAAATTAAATTATTATTGCTAACACAGTAGGTAACATGAGAATGAACCCTATTATCATACTCTTACATACGGTTGGGAGTTAACTCAGTGAGCGCGTACTGCTGAGCTGACACTGAGCATGATATCCTAACTTATGAAATGATTTAGTATATACCTTCCCTCAAATATCATTCTGTATTTGAACATTCTGGATTCTTAGATTTTTGTCCTTCAATTTTTATTTTTAAACGTGCACATTAGAGGTCTAAAAACATTTATCACTAAAATAGCATATGACTAGGAACTCTTTTGAAGTACAAAATATATAATATCTTGAACACAATCAACTGATGACGCAATGGTATTTGACATTTTATGACTAATGGAGTATCACAAAAGAATACCAACACTATATTGATTTCATAGATCAAAATATGATCCAAGAAATCATTTATGTACACATTTTTGGCTGATAATAATTTAGAAATTCTATACAATGTACTGGGACATTAGAAAAATTATTTTCTGGCTAAATACTAATCTAGATCCTGAGTTCTTACCTAATTTATAACCTAAAGAAGTAAAACAATATGCTCTTCAGATATAACCTGCCATCTGATTAATTTATTAATACTATTTATAAAAATTTGAAAAATTTTAACCTTTCCATAATTAAAAAGTTTATATCAATATAATATTAGGTTGAAATTTCATTAATTCTTGGTTCCAACTAAGTAACTAATCCAAAGGGTCAAAATTAGTTAGTTATTGCTTCTTTCAATAAGCAGAAATGATTCCCAAAAGTTATATAGAATAAAACCCTAAAATCAACACTGAGTACTTTTAAAATACAAGCAATATTAAAACACTAGTAATAGTGACCACAGTAGTAAAAAGCATAAGAGCAAAACAGTAAAAGGAAGCTTAGGATATGTCAGATATTCTAAACACATAAATGCTGGCAGAATATTGATTTGACAAAGACTACACATCAAATACAAAGCTTTTAATGATAAAAACCATACTAGAGAATGGTCAACAATTACTGCAAAGTAAAGATGAAAGAGTAAGGGGAAACCAGATCACATGAAGGGAAACATCTAAAAGGAAAATAATGAGGATGTTAAAACATTGTGAGCAATGTAACCAGTATCTCTGAACAATCTCTATAATAATTGTTCAATGAAACCTAACTTGCTGTGTGAACTTTCACCAAAAACACTATCAGATATGAAAAATACAAACTATACTAAAGCCATTACTAAAATCTACAATAAAAGTAGTTCCTTAAAGTTATACTGCAGTTCTATTCTTTGCTTTTATGTTTGTTTAAATCTCTTCCTTCTGGCTCCTAAATCCCTCTCCCATAGCTATGAGAATTTTACACTATAGAGCCAAAGCATGCTGAATTTGGGATGGAATACAAAAGTAAAGTAAAGCCACTCTAGAAGAGTGAGTGCTGGTGACTTAGTAGGCTACACATTGGTGCTAACTGCAAGGTCAGCAGTTCAAACCCAATGGCTACTCCTTGGGAGAAAGATGAGGCTTTCTGTTTTCATAAAGAGGAATGGTCTCAGCAACCCAGTTCTGCTCTGCCCTACAGGCGCCAATGAGACAGGGTCCAATCGCTGGCAGTGCTTCTGCTTTGGTTTTGCTCCCCTGTACAAGACTAACAAGATAGTGAACCTATCTACCTGAGAGAACTAAAAAATACTATAGGTTACTTAAGATGCCATTGTATGTGGTCTCCAAGTTAGAAAAACAAAAACTGGAAAGGTCGTCACTAGAGAAAAAAGGAAAGCAACAGACTATATCCTAGTCTTCTCTTCCTCTATGATAACGGAGAGGCACAAAATTCACTTTTTCTACCAAGAGTGGTGCTAAGTGACTGGCCTACTGCCACTGACTATATCTTCGAAGGTTTTGCTTGTTTGTTTTATGGAGATGCTGAATGGTAAATAACAAATATCTCTTTATGGGAAAACAAATGGGTATTTTGTATTATTTGACATCTCACCTGATTCTGAGGAATGGAGCAGAAGAAGAGAAAAACTCAGAAAATGTGAGGGACATAATCCAGCCACCATGGTCATCCAACAAATGAGAGGAAAATTTTTTTTTATCAGTTGAAACTGTTTTTAGACCACATTTACTTTCAAAGTGTGAGTCTACTTTTTTGGTACATCATCAAACCTCAGTAATATTTCTGCTGCTAATAAAGTTCATCACAACAAATAAGTTCTCACACAAAAGTCTTTAGATATTGCCATAATAATTGTCTTTTTTCCCCGTAGGCTTTCCTACCTAAATACTCTCTCATGATAATTATTAGTATGCCCAATATTTCAATGAAGGAATTAGAGATGCTTCATGGATGAGGCTCGACATATCAGGGCTCTGAATGGAATACATTTTAATAGTCTTTATTATTAAACAATAAAAGAAGGTAGGATTTTGCAAGAAGAAAAGCGGTAAAAGGGCAATAACTGGTATTATATGTAATTTTTAAATCCTCCATTAGTTTATATGTGCACCTACAGTGGTAAAATAAAAAAACAATTCTAGAAACAAATTATAAAAATAAACTTTTAAATAACGACTCCCTTGTGAATGTCAGCTGACATGTAACAGAAAAGCATTGCCTTTCTTTTAATACTCATCAGAATACATGTGCACAGGGGCAAAATGAATTTAACTCGATCTCATCCAAGAAGATTAAGACTATTCTTATTTCTGGGCTTCATATCTCAACCTACTGCTTATAAAGCATTTGACTTCACAATTGTTACAGTTCATATGTAACTAATACTTCAATAACAATAGATTTAATATCCTAATATTTAATCATGGTGAGTCCTTAGCTAAATCAGAAAAATATGTGTAAAGCATATTTGTGAATAATGGTTTATAAAATTATTTTGTAAAAGAAGCTGGACAAAATCTTGGTATATATAAACAGTTCCACAATATAGTCTGCCAGGGCACTTACAGAACTGTCAACATACACAGAAGCATTACTAAAAAAAGCTGGAGGTTAATTCATAATTTTGTTTTGTTTTGTTTTGTTTTTATTACAAATTTTCCCACAAGGTAATACACGTTAGTGCTCATCCTTTAATAAGCAAGGATCCCTGGTCTCTGTGCGGTACAAACTGTTACTGTGTTCAGCTCCAACTCACAATGGTGTAAGTTCAAGTCCACCCAAATACCCCTCAGAAGAAGGAAAGGCATCACCCTCTGAAGCGCTGGGAAGCACAGTTCTACTCTGCCAGATGGGGTGATAAGCCAGAATCAGTTACACTTAAGGCTTCTTTCTTTAATAAGCAGAAATGATGCCCGAGGTATATTTTAAAAACTCTAAAATTGTAATATTATTCAAGCTTTAATCAGTAATCCAGGACTTAACAAAAAACAAGACGCTGTAATTTAAAACCAGTTATAATGCCCTCAAATGAAGATTACATTCACAAACATCACTAAGGTATGCTTTTACACATACCAAGAAGTGGCGACATATTCTGAAATATTCGAAGTAACTCTGGTGTTATACATGGGCTGTTTTCCAATGTCACCAACCTGCAAAGGAAAAATAAGTGATTAAGTCACACTTCCGGGACATTAACATATAAAAGTCGTCTCAAATGAAGAAATAAAGGCAAGTGGAAAAGACAGAAAGTTATAAAAATGTTCTATTACAAGATTCATCAAAACTTAAAAACCTACCTGTAAGTGATGTAATCCTGTTTCTGTGCACATAGCCAAAAATTATATATAATACTAAGATTATGATAACAAAGATAAAAGTATGATTATTTTGGATTAATCAAGGACAAAGAAACATCATTTCACTGTTCTGATTTTCTTAAAAATGTTTCTGCCACATTTCATTGATTTGTCTTTGATGAAAAATTGGACTAATTAAGTAAAACTACATATTCTGCAAGCTCAATAAATATGAATTTTAAATATAACAAAGGCCAATTACAAGCAATCTCACTCACAATGTAACCAATGTGAAACAATAAATGCATAAAAAATATTCATAGGCTGTGGTTTCTGGTAGCACTATGGGTTAAGTGTTGAGCTGTTAACCACAAGGTAGATGGTTCAAACTCACCAGCCGTATTGCCAAGACTAAAATGAAGCTGTCTACTCCATAAAGATGTAAAGTCTTGGAAATCCTGCACAGGACTGCTACAAACCAGAACCATTCCAATGGCCGTAGGTTTTAGTTTATCACACAAATGAATAGCTACCTAAGTATCTACCACCCCCACCACGCTATAAAAAGGCTTTGGGAAAATCATGATTGTGACAACAGTTATAAGATAAAGGAGTAAGTTAAAGCGTCTACTGTCTAAAGGGTCTACTGTCAAAATTAGGCGCTCAATCATAATAAATATTCTTAAAAGATTATTAATAAAAAGGAACTTTTTTAACCTGGTCAGAGGGTATCTATCAACCACCCATAGCAAACATGTTTAGTAATATGTTGAAAGCTCTTTCCAAAAACCAAAAGCACTAAAATGGATTATGGTGATGATTGTACAACTCTTTTCTTTATGAATGAACTATTGAATTATATGATAAGTGAATTATATGTCAATAAAAAATTTTAAATTATGCTGATGTTATTAAGGTTTTAAAGGGTTAAGGAGAGGCTATAAGTTTTCTTCTATTTATATAATAAATGTAGGTTTCGGGTCTTTAAAAGAAAAAGAATCCTGTCTTCTCATGAGTACTTTCACATCTATTTATTGTTCTGTAAAAGACAAGGATGGCAAAAGAAAATAGTTAAACAGTCCTTTTTAAGAATATGTTTGACGTAAGAGAGATAATCTATAGACAAATTATCTGATTAACTTGAATAAGAGTTTAACAGTTATCATTACATAAAGGTCAACTGTTTCCATAAGCCAAGCACATCTAAGTGAAATCAACAGTTTGCAGACACCTAGAACAGCTAGCATCTATATAATTGACATCACTATGGAAACATTATGGAGGTATGGAAACAAAAACCAACATCATAAAGATGTTCATTCTCTCTAAACTGTCACACAAAACAGATCGAACTGCAACTGCAATTCCTACAGGGTTTTCCAGAGAACTTAAATATCGATTTCAAAAGGAAGTGTCAGGCAAATGGCCGAGAAAAGAGAGGAAATTTCTTAAGAAAAAGGTGTATCAACAAGTAGAAGATATACCTGCTTTACCAGATAATAGCATTCGTATAAATCCATATATTTATCAACAGAGGTCCCAAAGACCAGGTTGTTATGTGAAAACGGAGAATGACCACATGAGATCACAAATTGGAGGATGACTACATCATTAATTACATAACTATAAAATCACCGAATATCAATGCCCAGTCAAACTGACATGTAACATTAACCTTCACAGACAGGGATACACTCACTTTGCATCCGTGTATATTAGCTGCCAGGTATCTGTCATTAATACCAAAAGAGTCCGTTACTAGACTTTAATGCTGTCTTAAATGTTCACTATCTAGTGTGAGACAAGCTGGTGAGGATAGGAGCACACTAAAGACAACAGAAAGCTGTTCATATGACAGACGAGGCTCTAGAGACCAATAAGGAAAGGCCACTGAACACCATATATAGCATCGTAGTTTATGTTAAGAGGATAGTTTTATGACTTTAAGTTAGAGAAATTCTTTTTTAATTGATATAAAATTTGACTATACTACAGCTAATAATTTTGTTTTCTGACAGATACTACCAAGAAGTTGTTTTGTTTTGTTTATTAAGTTAACTACTGGGGGAAAATTATCTACAATACATAAAATTGCAAAAGGAATAGTACCTAAAAGAATAATATACAAAGAAGTCAGTAAGAGGAAAATGGACATAAAAAATGAGCAGGCATTTCACAGAAAAGGAGAAAGACTAGCACTAAACGCAAAAAGAGACACTCAGTGTGGATAATTTAACAAAAATCGTTAGATCAAATCTTAACAAAGTAACTATGTCAATATTAATATCAGATAAACTTTATATCCAAAAGAATTTTGTCATTACTGTTAGCACCACCAAGTCATTTCCGATTCATAGTAGCTCTACAGGATACAATACAACTGCTCACAAGGTTTCTAAGGCTACAGCATTGATGGGAACAGACTGTCACATCTTTCTTCTGAGCAAGTTTAAACCAAGGCTTACCAAATGTGCAATGAGGGGTCCTTCCAACAGAACCCAAGGGGAAGAGGGACTAGTCCGAGTATATACATATTACATCACATCAAGTTTCATAAAAATATTTCAAATACTACATTTTATGAGAATAAGTAATGAAATATTGCTCCAAAATCAAACAATTTTATGAAACAATCGCAAAATATGAAGGTATTGATTTTTGGCTTGTCTTCCATCCGTTCCTACACTTTCTGACGGTGGGGTTTCCATTGGTCTAAGCTTCCTCGAAGAACTCTGTGCTCTTTCATCTACACTATGTTAAAATAACAGCTGTGGCATCCATGAGAAAAGCAAAGCATGTTCCTTTTGATGACTCTTTGGGTTTGGGGAACGAAATAGTCTAAAGGGGCAGGAGCAAGATCATGGCTCTAGGGTGAATGGAGTGAGGTTTCCCAATGAAACTCATGGAGCATAGTCCTTGCAACCCTAGAGAATGGGCAGGTACATTACTGTGAATTCCTGGTCTTTTACTCACCAATGCAGTTTTCCATGTTCTTAAACCGTCTTTCTAATAAGCCCCTGTGACCATGCTGTCTCCTTCAAGAAATTCTATCAAGATTACCAACACACAGTGGTCAGAATCTCCTGAGTTGATGTCTCTGCTTTGAATTTACCTAGCCCAGCAGAACCACTCAGACATTACTGTCTTGATCGGACATTTTGTGGGAAGGCACTCTAATGACTGTAAGTGTATTATTGAAAGCACCTGTCTGCAGTCATCCACCGATTTCAGGAACATGCCTAAATGCACGTGTTTGAAACAACTTATGCATTCCATGAACTGAGACACAAGTAGCAATAAATTTGACTTTCTCGATATTTACTGAATGATTTAATATGCAAAATCATCTAATTTTTCAGTAGTAAATAATATTTTTATTTTCAAATATAAAGCTGTTAACAGTGAAAAGGCACACTGATACAAATAAAACTGAGTGGGAGATTTTAATAATTCTGTATTATGATGAAAGCAAAATGATGAATTATACAACTGACAAGGTAAAAGAATAGATAACATGTAGACTTCTATTGTGAAGACATCATCATTACTATTGCATGTGAATGTGTTACAAATATGGAGCCTATAAGTTATTAAAATTTATACAAGCCACATGTCATAAGTGTCATGTAACACATACAGATCTGGGTAATATTTGATGGCATCAAAAAATGTTGGGTCAAAGAGGTCATTTAAAAACTCCTACTGCTACTACCAAAATAAAAAATAGAAGATTGCATATCAAAATTCCTGGAACATAGCCAGTTATACTCCAAGACAAATTTACAGCTGTGCATGTTCTAGTACTTAATAAGAAAAGAAGCAGTCATTTATAGAAGATGCACTGACAATAAATGTTAAAAGCAGTAACTCCAAACTAAAAAGAACAAAGGGGAAGGCATGCTGGATTTTAAATCAAAGAGCAAATTCTTTCATAATAATTAAAAAAGCAAACTTCAAAAACATACATATTTAAGTTATAAGGGGCTACTTGCCAAAAGTAACACAGAGAAACTGAAAACCGAAATAATTATATATAAACTAAGAGCAAGAAGTAACCTGAGAATGGTAATCAAAATTGTAACTGACCCCTCCCTACCACTAAAGCTCCACTTTCAGTTGGCTTTATCACTAGATTTGCGAATGTTCCAGGGAATAGTTTCCATATTATAGAAACCATTCTATACAAAGAATGAACATAAACTAACAACATTTTAAAATGTAATAGATGCAAAACCCTATAGTATCACAAAACATTTATGCAATTCATTTATCAAAAATATAATTAAAGAGTAATAAGGGTAAGGGAAGGGTGGGATCCCTCACAAGGTTGGATATATAACCCACACCCCCAGGGAGACAAACAGCAGAAATATGGGTGAAGGGAGACATCAGACAGTGTACGACACAAAATAACAACAAAAATATATAATTGATCAAGGATTCCTAAGGGTGGAAGGGGAGGGAGGGGCAAAAAGAGGAGCTGATACCAAGGGCTCAAGTGAAATGTTTTGGAGATGTTGATGGAAACATGTACAAGTGTGCTTATACAACTGATGATGGATTGTCATAAAATCCAAGGCCCCCAATAAAATAATTTTTTAAGTAAAATATCAAGATAGGAGTTTTTAAATATATCAAAAGTGTGATCTACCTTAGTAACAGTTTGATCTGAGTGGTTTTTTTAGTGATATAATTTCCTTAGTTGAAGCAAAAGGAGCCAAATAGGTTTTTATTTTTAATGTTGTAAAGCTTATAATCATTAACAGTGCATACCATCCATTACCTCATACGGTTTCCAAAAATAAAAACTGTTCATCTGAAGTCTTTTGTTCAAAATCTGTTTAAAAATGAAAGCAACTTTAAATATTCTAAATTTCCCCAGGTTTCTCATATTAAGGAAAAAGACTAAATATCAATGAGCTAATTCTGTAGACTGCATGTCAAAGGAAAAGGAAAAACACACCCTAAAACAAGCATACAAAAAGCAAGCAAACGATGGAACTTACAACTTTCCTCTAGTTCCTAAATGCTTCTCTCCACCAACCCCCAGCCCTCCACTATCATGATCCCAATTCTACCCTACAAATCCGGCTAGACCAGAGGATGTACACTGGTATAGATGGGAACTGGAAACACAGGGAATCCAGGGTGGATGATTCCTTCAGGGCCAGTGGTGAGAGTGGTAATATGGGGAGGGTGGAGTAGAAAGGGGGAACTGATTACAAGGATCTACATATAACCCCCTCCCTAGGGGATGTACAACAGAAAAGTGGGTGAAGGGAGATGTTGGACAGTAATAATAATTTATAAATTATCAAGGGTTCGTAAGGGAGGTGGGACGGGAATGGAGGGAGGTAAAAATAAGGAGCTGATACCAAGGGCTCAAGTAGAAAGCAAATGTTTTGAGAATGATGATGGCAACAAATGTATAAATGTGCTTGACATAATAGACAAATATATGGATTGTGATAAGAGTTGTATGAGCCCCCAATAAAATGATTCTGAAAAAAACAAAAACAAGCAAACACGCAAAGGGAATTAAAACCAAAAGTTGGGCCTTTTTTGAAGACTAGTAACATGATGAATTTCTACTGAGATGAACCAAGAACCATGGGGGAAAAATGAACCGCATAACCAACTTGAGGCGTAATACCCCTAATATACGTTCACATGCTTCTCCAAAATAGCCATTTTAGATGTTCTCTCTTCATAAACCCCTCATATGTTCACAATCCAACCAGTGAGTCTCACCTAATGGCTATGCTTCCTACTTTATTGTGAAATTAGAAGCCATTACAACATAACACAGAAAACACCTTCCCGACTCCAGTGATAAGGAGTCCCTGCGGCCAGAAGATACAAAGTGCGCCACTTGATCTCTGGATGCCATCTCTTACTGCCACCAGCTATCTCACTTTCTCTACAACATAGCTCTTGCTCTCCCATTCCCCCCAAAAGCCAGCTGCTTCCCCATTTCTGTACCTTCTTAAAAGATAAAGTTCTCAAACAAGCTATCAAACCTCAGTCTCTACATTCATTATCAATCTACTCCAATTCTAATGTCTAAAATCTTACCACACCACTGAAACTCCCATTAAGTCCACAGGGAAATTCACCTCTCTGGAGCAGTCAATTATCAATAGCATTTCACACAGTAAACCAGTCCTTTTTTTAAAATTCTCCTTTTTTTGACTTGGCTCTCCTCAATCAGAAGACAAGGCTCCTCTGTCTTCTTGGATGACTCCTCTTGTGAGCCAAAAGAGTTATAAACTTATCAGGATTCTGCCTTGAGCAGAGTGGTCTCTAACTGCCCTAACTGCTTACACAATCTCCTCCACTCTCAGGACTTACATGCTATCTACAGACCCTCTCAGAACAACTATGTGGGGTAGGGGTTCCTTTCCTTCATCTAACAGATAAGGAAGTCCAGGCTCACAAAAGGTAATTAATTTACTCTACTCACAAACCCAGTTCAGTGATAGAATATCTCGTTGCCAATTAGAGTTCTAACCCACTACGAAAAATACATGAAGAAATTTGTGTCGATAATTTTGGAAAAATGTAAACCTTTGTTTTTATATATTATTTAAAAGTTATTTTATGCATAAATAAAGGCTAGAAAAATGAAAAAAATAAATGACCATTAAGAGAAACACAACTATTATTAGGCATGTAATCTTTTAGAAACATACATTTTTCATAAACAACATATTAGGTTTGTAATCTTTATGGAAGTGCTTGGTGGTGCAATGTGCTCGGTTGCAAAGGGAAAGATCAGTGCTGTGGAACTACCACTTGTTCCACAAAAGAGAGGTGTGGCACCTGCTCCATAAAGATTACAATCTGAACAAAACCTATGGTCAGTTCTATCCTGGCCTCTAGGATTGCTAGAAATGAGAATTGGTGCCAATAGCAAAGGAAATATATTAATGAGTAAGTTTGTAATGGAAATGAACAATATATCTGAGTTTTCCTCTTTATTATAATTTATACTGTGTATTTTCTTTTATTTATTTTTTATACTGTGTATTTTTTTAATAATCAACATTACCTTGTATCTGTATGTTTACAATAAAGTATTTATATGCAAGAGATCAATTATTTTCATACGTTCTCTACAACAGGGGTTGTGAACATACCACCTATGGCTCAAACCATCAACAGCATATTTTTGTAAAAGAAGGTTTATTGAAACAGTCATGTCCACTCTATGTATGTTCTATGGCGATTTTAGCACTACAATAGCAGAGATGATTAGGTGGTATGGCCTAGGAAACTAAAGAGTTTACTACTCTCTAGTCATAGGTCCCCAAGCTTATTTGTTCAACCACACCCTTTTCAGGGGTATAAAAAAAAAAAAATTACCCAGTGACCTTACACTATAGCTCATAATCAAGGACAAAGTGTAGGTATTGCTTTTGCTGGCCTCCTGATTGTTCCAGCACCCCAAAGGGGGGGGGTGGTATCACCTACTTTGAGAAATACTGCTTTAGCATTTTACTGAAAAAGTTTGCTAACCTCGAACAGAAGAGTAATCCATCCTTATATAAACATAAATATATGACTATGAACCACTACAACATGTTCATGCCCTTGGAAATCCAAACAACACAGTCTAAAAGGAAATTTTTTTTTTAAAAAACCTTCAAAGTGTAAAGTAATAACTATTTACATGGTTATGCTCCAAAATCATTCACAAATATTCTGATGTTACTGTTATGAGTTGTCAAGTCAATTCCAACTCGGATGACCACAGTCGTGCTGAGTAGAGCTGCATTCCCTGGGGTTTCCAGCCCGCGCTTTTTGAGGAGACGGATCCCAAGCCCATACTTCCGAGGCTGATTTGGGTAGAAGTGAACTGCCAACACCTTTGCTGTTACTTATAGTCCAGCCTAAAACCATGTGCAGCACTCACTAAGGTGCTCCAGTCAGAGATCATTAATCTAGTGTTTACACCAAAGACACTTTCTCAAACTCAAAGGTGTTAATTCCTAGACATCTAGGATGCAGGCAGGGAGGGACAGAGGGAGCCCAGGAGAAACAATTACAAAATGAAATTTTTTCTCCATGATTCATTTCTATGATTTGCGGCTGAACTCAATTGTAACTTCAAAACCTGATGCCATCAAGGTAACTCAGATTCATAGTAACTTTCTATGCTGCTCCAGGGCTTGGTAAACCTTTAGGAAAGCAGATAGCCTCATCTTTCGGCTGAGGAGCTGGTGGTGAGTTTGACCCACCAACTATGCCCTTAAGCAGTTCAACAGCTACCAGACAGCAGCACCAGCAGGGTTCCAAGTCCTATATAAACACTGACATTTTCACCTTGTCCTATATTATGTGTTTTAAAAAATATTACCCTGGAGGAACCTGTTACCATCAACAATATAAGCAAAAGGATTTTCTAGCGCAATTCCTTAAACATAGTAAACAGTCAGTGAAGGTTTCTTGTGCTGACTAGCCAGAAAAAATGTTGTTATATCTCCATTTTATATATTTTACTCTGTAAAATAGTTAAATCAAGACCATAACTAGTATTTGGGGTTAAGCCCTAATATTTCAGCACTCCCTACGTAAAGTGGTTGAGAAGTAGCCAACTTAGCCCCTAAAGTATCTCTTTTCACTAGATTGGGTTTTGACTTGAGTCAGCTTTTAACTTAGAGAATTTGTTACCATTCCCCTCTAACACGCCAAATTCTTAAAAATGAAATGTAATTCAGTTTTGAGTCAATTTTTAATTTAGAGAATTTGTCAGCATTCCCCTTTAACATGCCAAATTCTGAAAAATGAAATGCAGTTTAGAGTTAATACCGAGATTTCCCTCTTAACTTTATTTGTTGTTAATCCTACGGTGAACAACAGCTGCCAAGAAGAGATGAAACTATTTGTTTGGGAAAATTACCTTACATCCTTATCTTTAAATGCTGAGTTTTTAAAATCAAGTTACAGTTTTGCCTTATTAGCATAAAAACGAGGAAGGCGGGGTGGGGGTGGGGGTAAAAAAAGTGGATGAAGGGAGACGTCGGACAGGGCAAGATATGACAAAATACCCATGTATAAACTATCAAGGGCTCATGCGGGAGGGGGGAGCGGGGAGGGAGGGGAAAAAAATGAGGACCTAAATGGAGAGAAAATGTTTTGAGAAACGATGTACAAATGCGCTTTACACAATTGATATGTGTATGGATTGGGATAACAGTTGTATGAGCCCCTAATAAAATGTTTAAAAAAAAAAAAAGATCCATGGGATAAAGTTTTTCCTCTTACCATAATTCTAAACCATCTTCCAGAAGATAAACATGTGGAGGCTGGGAAACATCTGTACTCAGTTGAATTACTGGGAGCAGGAAAGGGTACAGGTTCTTGCTGTCTGCTCCTAATCCCTACAGGAAGTATAAATAAAACTTATCGTGAGAAACTCCGAGGTCCCGTCCCACCGAAAAATTACCTAGCCTTTAAAAAGTCCTAAAACCAATTTATAAAAAACGCATCCAATTTTTTAGGATGGTCCTAATAACAAGTACTACTGACAAAGTTACAATTTAAAAGAAAATAACAAAAAATACTATTAGGCTGCCTAATGGCCAGATAAGAACTTTTGTCAAGGTCCCACACATTTGTTAGTTTTAATAGACTCCACGAGAACATTTATTTTCCCCTTCCTATCAATTGAAGCAAAATTAACATTCACATTTTATAATGAACTACCTTATCTAAATAACTAATCTAAAATAAACCCAGCCCAAATGTTCATGTGTAAGATAATTAAATTACAACATATTCATATTCTAGAATACCAAGTAGCCATGACAAATGCTTAAGCATGAAGTACCTAAAATCTTTTTTAATCTAATCTAAAAGGAGCAGAAGTGTGCATCACAATTCTAATTAATGCATCTAAGAGTCTGTTAAAACATCTACATATCTGAATTACAGATAATACGTAAAGATACTTCTGGAGAAAAAGAGAAAAAAATATTAACACTAGTTAGATTTGGGGAGGGGGAAAGATGTTTGGGAAGTGGCAAAGACTATCTGTATATGTTGTTGCTATTCACTTGCTTATTCTGCTGCACGCCTAAGAGTTGCAGTGGCTAATCCCTCAGAACTGAGCCCTCTGTTCCTTCTTCATCGTCTGTCTCAGCCCGGGGGCACACTCTCCAGCATCACAGCAACATGCGCACCCCACACAGTACAATAAAGTGAAGACGTGCAGAGGGTCAGCATGAAGAGGAGGATTCTCAAAGAGATGGGTTGATACAACCGCTACAATGGGCTCACACATAACAGTTCTGGTGACTGGGCAGTTTTGTTCTGTTGTGCTATGACTCAAACTGATATTATGGCACATAACAACATATGTAAGCATTTTCGTATGTATTTAGAAAAATAAATGCACATATTACATGAAGAATTTTTGTTACTACACAAAAAACTCCCAAAACACAAGCATGAGGGAAGACCCTTTATCTAAAATTCTACTTCACCTAATTATTGTCGTAAGGACGTTGGCCTATTCAATGTATCACACTATAAGTACTTTGGAAGAAAGCAAGAGGGATTAAAAATTAATGTCTAAACCACAATCTCTATAATCTGATAAAGACTGAAAGGAAAATATAAACTACTAGAAAGTTTGAGTTTTCATTTGTTAGCACATTATAAAAATCATTTTCAAGAAAACAAAGTTCTCTCTTATATAAAAATGCCCGGTCACAATCCTCACTTTGATGATATATACATATTAACTATTTTAATCTTATCAGTGAAGTATAAATACTTCAGAATAAAGTTTATCTTTAAATATATTGAATTGACCTTTTCTGTAACCAGTCAGTTAAAAACTGCCCTGAATCTTTTATGAAAGAAAGAGAATTATAAAAACAAAGCAGTATGTTGGGTTTTTAAATTCAGTTGAATTTTACATTTTATAGAAAAGGAAGCTCAGGAAAAATAAGTTGTATTCATTTTAATTATCAAGTAAATTTAAAGTTTCCTTCAAAAATTAGAATATATCTACTTACTTAGGGCACATCCCACTAAGCAAAATATGTAAGCATAAGCAGAAGTAAGAAACTGCTAATCACAAAGGCTCTACCATTTCCGACTTTCCGACAAAGAAAGTAAATAAATACTACTGTCAATTACTGACATTAAGACGAAATCATGTGATGTCACCCGTCAAACAAGTAATGTCGATTTTCTAAAGGACATCTTTGTGGGGTATCAAGGCAAAACAGATTCAATATTTTGTAATCTAGTAACTATTAAAATGTGCCCAGTTCCAGGTACATGTGTGAATTAATAGGAACATTCTTTGGGCCACAATTATGATTATGAGGCACAGAATTGCCTATAATAAAAGGAAAGCTAAAAAAAAACAAACCTGTCAAATACTTAGACTACTGACACAATTGTTTAAGGAGAAAAAATCATATTCCACTGTAATAACTTAAGGCATAACCTTTGGCATAAAATGTGTACCTGGGGCCATCCTCGCTTTACAATTTCCTGTAAAACTGTACTTATTATCAAAGTAAAAGGTTTCGGGGGGGGGGGGGGAATAGTACCCTGAAATATCAGCCTAACAAAATCCTGGGCTCTATTCTCATGGAGAAAAGGTTGGTGCTGTCAAGATTTTGTCTTGTGTGGATCCACAATCAATGCTGAGAGAAGGAGCAGTCAATAAGTCAAAAAAACACATTGCCTTAGGTAAGTCTGTTGCACAAAACCTCTTCAGCATATTGAAAAGCAAGGAAGTTACCTTGAGGACTGGACTAAAGTGTGTCTGGCAACAAAATTCGATGATGATGTCCATTCAACAATTCAATGAAGTGCATTCCACATTTCCAAAGCAAATTTCTTAAGAATCCTAATACTCACATGACTGAAAATATTTTTACCCAGAAGTTATCTCAAACTCTATAAATAGTACAACTCACTGCCTTCCTCAAAAAAATGCTTCCTGTCTTTCTGAATTCTAGTGATATGTAGCCTATTATATCATCCTCTTTCTCCAAAAAACATATCTAACTTATCTTTGCTATCCTGGTAATGTTTCCAATTTTAACCTCATTATTTCCTCCTTCTTAACCAATATCCTTGGCCTTACTTTCATCGCATTTCAAATCACTGCTATCCTGATTACTTCTACATAGTGAAAAGTAGCTTACCACCCCTTTGTCTGCACATCAGTAAAAGTTTTATATGCTGATGGTGCCCGGCTATCAAAAAGTATAGCATCTGGGATCTTAAAGGCTTGAAGGTAATCAAGCGGCCATCAAGCTCAGAAGCGACAAATCCCACACGAAGAAGCACACCAGCCTATGCGATCACGAGGTGTCGAAGGGATCAGGTGTAAGGCATCATCAGAACAAAAAAATCTTACCATAGTGAATGATGGGGGGAGTGTTGAGTGAGACCCAAGGCCCATTAGTAGGCCACTGGAGATCCCTTTGCAGAGGGGTCTCGGGGAGGAGATGAGCCAGTCAGGGTGTGATGTAACAATGATGAGAAATACAACCTTCCTCTAGTTCCTAAATGTTTCCTCCCCGCTCCCACTACCATGACTCGAATTCGACCTTGCAAGTCTGGCTAGTGCAGAGGATGTACACTGGTACAGATAGGAACTGAAAATACAGGGAATCCAGGGTGGATGAGCCCTACAGGACCAGTCGTGTGAGTGGCGAAACAGGGAGGGTAGAGGGAGAATGGGTAGGAAAGAGGGAACCGGTTACAAGGAACTATATGTGACCTCCTCCCTGGGGGACGGACAACGGAAAAGTGGGTGAAGGGAGACGTCAGATAGGGCAAGATATGACAAAATAATTTATAAATTATCAAGGGTTCATGAGGGAGGGGGGAGCGGGGAGGGAGGGGAAAAATGAGGACCTAATGTCGGGGGCTTAAATGGAGAGGAAATGTTTTGAGAATGATGAGGGCAATGAATGTACAAATGCGTTTTACACAATTGATGTATGTATGGATTGTGATAAGAGTTGTATGAGCCCCTAATAAAATGAGGGGGAAAAAAGCTGATTAAAAAAAAAAGTTTTATACACTCTGCTAATCAACTTCTCACACCTCAGAGGCTCAGGTCAGATTCAGAAGAGGTTCTGGAATAAGGGGTGTCACTGCTGATGTCAGATGGATCATAACTGACAGCAGAGAAAAGCAGAAAGCCGTTTATTTATATTTCATTATCTATGCAAAGGCATCTGACTCTGTGGTGCACAGAAAACTATGAGAAAAATGGGGACTCAAACACTTAACTGAGCTCATGGGGAACCTGTACACGAGACAAGCAGCAATTGTGCAAATTGTACACGGGAATAATGCATTGTTCAGTATCAGGAACTGTGTGTGAGGCATGTAACGTCTCACCATACTTATTCAAGCTACCAGCTGAACAAATAATCAGAGAGGCCAGGCTATAGAGGACGAAGGAGGCATCAGGATGGGAAGAGGCTTAATAACAACCTCTGAAGCAAGACTGTGCTACAATCGTATTTGCAGAACGTGGGGCAGACTTGAAGAACTGCTGTTGAAGGTGAAAGACTGCACCCTTCAGAAAGGATTACTCTCTCTGCAAAGAAACCAACATCCTCGCAATTGGACCAAAAGGTAACATGAAGATAGAGAAAATATGGAACTTGTCATAGAAGACGAGACTGACAAAACATCTGGTGTGCCTGACTCCACCAAGAAAATAATGAGGTAACAGATAAAATGTATGGTCTTAATTACCATGCATACTAGAGTATGAGCCGACCCAAATATCAGGAGAGGCACCTAATTTTACCACAAAAACTGCATTAAAAGTGCTGGAAAACTCTGCTTAAACACGAGTATGTACGGTACATAGAAAACTAATGCTAGTGGACAGAATTCTACCATTACTATCCAAGAGCCTTGGCCCTCAGGCATATCCACTCCTTTTCTAGATGTGATTAATTAAGTATAGTAGTTGATGTTAAGATTGAGAAATTACCCAGTGGGCTTAATACTGCAGAATTCTTTTTTTTTTTTTTTGCGGAATTCTTATTAAAAAGTTGAAATAACATGTTTCGTTTAAATACATGCATGTGTTTGTGTGTGACACTTAAAAAAATAAAGGTTTTCAGATACTACAAAAAGGGAATTAAGGGGTTCAAAGAATCAGAACCGAAACGTGAGCATTAGAAGGTGGAAGGTGCTAAAAGTCAAGGAATCTGGTTAGACTTAACAGAGACGAGGCCCCCAGTTGTGAGCCAACAAGTTGGGGACTCCTGTAAGTCCTGTGGACACTTTGATTGCACCCACTGAGACTCTGAGCAGAGAATCCCATCTAGACTTCTGGTGTTCAGAACTGTGACCTAGAAAGTGATGCAATTTTAAGCTAAGT